TAGTTGTAGTTATTTATTTAAATATTATGTAGAAAAAGTTGAAATATAAATTATGCATCAATAATTATTGTATAATAAACGCATTAATTATGTTTTTATTTATTTTATCACTACATTTTCTTTGCTTGGTGTATAATGGGCTGCCGAGTGCCAACATTATGAATTTTTGTCAAGGGAACGGGATTGACAGACTTAGAGAATATCCCTGAATTTAAGTAATTTTATATTGTTTTGTAGAAAAAGAGAATTTTCTTGTAAATCCCCGACAAAAAACTTCCTAAATTTTTCAAATGTTGTTTAGACTTAGAATTAAATTAAACTTATTACACCATTTTCTTTAGCGAGATGTATAATGTGTTGCCTAGTACCAACCTTTGTAAGTAATTCCTTTTTTTTCCAAGAGAGTGGTTGCAAATGAAACAAAATTCTTGAGACAGTTATATTAATCATCGAAGCTTTTAAATACAGCACCTAATTTGACCTAAAGACTAGGTTTCGGGTACAATAAAAAAAAATGACACTTATACAATAAACACATGCACCTTACACGAATTCTTGTGAATTTTCGTCAATTCAGTACCCCGAATTGCRAAAATCCCCAATTCACACAAATTAAAGTCACCGTCAAATAAATTCACTAATATATCACTGGCAAAATTGCTTTAATTACCCTAAAATTTAATAATACGATTCATTTCACGGTCATTTTGCTAAAACTATCGAATTTCTCCTGTTTTCGTTGGCAGCGGCCCATATGACGCATGTAAACCCCATATTCGCAAACCGGGATTCCGCACTGGTTCTCAATAATGCACCTGGAACAAGATCATTAGCTCATTTTTAATGGGGGGGAAAGTCACCTTCTATCGGTGAGACTGAAGTATTCCTTCCCTTTCTTCATCCTGATGCAGTCCTGATTGTACTCGTCGCAATCGCAACTACATCTGGAGTCGTACCGGAATTTCGGGGTGAACTCCTCCGGGCATTTGCAGCTACAAGAAAGCCGTTAGGCGGGGAAAACACGATAAAAAACTCACTTTCTCGAGCTTTCTGGGTGGGATTTGAGAGATAATCCTTGAGTCAAATTAATATTTTCCTCGGGGAGGGTGGTCGGCCCTTGTGACTTTTCGATACAAGCACATTCCGTGTGGTTGTAAAAAGTCAATTTTTCTACTTTGGTTCCGGCGATGCCTAAGGTTTTCGCCTGAAATAAAACAACATAAATTTTGTTGGGAGAAAATTGGGAGATTTATGGCCGATGGGAGATAATCTCGAGTCACAAAAACGCTCCGACGACTTTAATCAAAACAAACATTTTTTCAGATTTCTGAAACGATTTATTACGTCTTTGATGCAACCTAAATGCAGTTTGCGTAACAAATGGAATCTCTCATTAGAGATTATTAAGTTGCAAAATGAATCGTAAATACATCCCACGAGGTATGTACAAGTGGGTTAAATAATGTTGTGATTTACGGTTTATGGCGGTAATTGGTCATTTTTACATTTAGAGTTTTCATAATCGCTGAAAAGTTTTTTAAAAGTTATTATTAGAGAAGTGTTTCCAAGTCATTAAAATCGTTCCTGATTAATCTCGGAAGACAATAAACATGCTCCTCTCATAAAAAGTTCTCCGTGGAATAAATCTTCCTCTCACAAAAAGTTACGAACCGGATAAATCAACAGTTCGTTAGCTTCGGAAAAGTCTAGTCGAAACTGAGCGAATTACACAAATTAGTTGGAGCTAATTTAATTTGTACTTAGGTGATTCCTCGTTTAAATCTCAAAGTTTTCACAGCGAAACAAATCTCAGGGCAAGAAATTTGTTATTTGTGAAAAATAATCTAAAACCATCTTTCTGATTTTTTTAATATCCCAGTTTGGAGAAATATATCAACAATGTTGATATTTGTTTCATTTTCTTGCTTGCTTTGTCGAATCTCTGAAAACATGTTTGCTAATTCATATATTTTTTTAATTTTGAAAAAACGCTTTCAGTTAAATTCTTCGAAGATTTTTAGTGGTGATACTCGTAATAAAAAAAAATAAAATCTTGTAAGGTGGTAAACCTATCCTTTGACATGCAATTTAATGTAATTAGCCAATCAAATTGTTTATTTTATAAACATTTTAAAATGAACGTAAGTTTGAGAGGATTGACAGGCTAGGCACTCAAATTTTTTTTGACTTTGAAAATTAAATCTCGAAGGAAAACTTTCTTATATAGATTACTCAATTTTACGTAATTCGTCCACAATGTCAAATTGTTTTTTTTTTACATATTTATTTGAAAATAACCCTGAGAAAGGATTTTTTCCAGTTTTGTCCAGCTTTGAAATTTTAAAACGTTTTTATTACAAAACTCAAAATTCGTACTATTTTGATAAAACAAAGTAAAAAAAAACGGCAAACTTAGATCCGTACATGAGTAATTTTCGGATCTTTTTTATGAATTTGGAGCAAATTTTGTCAGAACAAGGAAAAAAATATATAAAATGGAGTCTGGAATGCATTATTTTCGCTTATTTTGATAAATGCAGAACGTTTTTCACTGAGAAGCTCACTAAGTTTGAGAGATTATGCCAAACCAAGATAAAATTCTCAAAATTAGATTTATTAATGAATTATTTTTGCTTTATTTTATAAATTAAGAGAGAGACCGAGACAAACAAYACAAAAAAGTGCGATAAATTTTAAAATGTATTTTTTTTCGCTTATTTGATGGATTTTGAACATTTTTTTATTGAGTAACTTCCTAAATTCGAGAGACTGAGCAAAAACAAAACGGAATTTCTAATATATCATGTCTATTTTTATTAATTTAGAGGTTCTTGTTTTGAGAAACGCATTAAATTCTAATGGCAGGAAATTGTAAAATGAGCAGACTTGGAAAATGCTTTATTTTTCCATGGTTTTATAAATTTATAGAGTTTTTAAGAGAGCATCTCACTAAATTCATCAAAATTTGTTAAAAAAAGACAAAAAGATGCAAAATCAGGTCCAAAATGCGTTATTTTTTATAGCGTTTTTTATAGTTATCCCCTTTTTAATAATATTGACGACTTTAATAATAATCAATCATTTTTGTGAAAGACAAAAATGATTTTAAATTATTCAATTATACAGATGTAATTTTTTAAGATTTTTTTTTAATTACTAACTTTTGCATGTTTTCTCGTACAATGACAATTCAAAACTGTTTAAATAATTAATTCTTCAAAGAATTTCGATAGAAACGTAATTTTTTTTACAGTTTACATTGATAGAGTAGTTGAACAATAAAAAATGTCTTAATTAAAAAATTCTTTATTCAATTTGACCTAAGTATTTGTCTGCAGACACTATACCTACATTAACATTTATAAAAAACATCAAGTCATTTAATTTCTAATTATAATTTCAAGGCTGCTAAATTTAGCCACTGATTTATTTATTTTATTTGGGAAATTCAAATGATTCAGATCAATTTTTTATTAACTAATTACTTAGTTTGTGATCTGCAATTTTCTTTATTTATTTCATTAACTAAAAAAATCGTTGATGAAATAAAATGAATTTTGATATAATTATTGATAATTTATATAACCGAAATTTGAGAATTTACGTTAAAGCAAGGCAAAAAAGTGCAAAATGCGGATTTGTTCATTTATTCTAATAAATTCTATAAGTTTTTTCGTCCGAATTTAAATGACAACAAAAAAAACATCAAGTAAAATTTTTTGCCCAATGTAAAACTTTTGCTTCCCTTCCTTGATGGTGAATGACAATAATATTTTGGTTTGTTGTGAGGCTTCTGGCCTGTGATATTTGGGTTTATTAAAACGTTCCCTCGTCAATCATCCCATAAAATCATTCGCGGTGTGATTAATGTGGAAGCAAAGTACGAAGGCAGTCGGGAGTAATGGCTTGTAAAATAATCGTAAAATCGTGTTTGTTTTCCGAGTCCGTRTCGGCGTCATAATTGCCCGAATCTTGGACTCAAAAATGTCCTCAAACTATAATCTTGCATGCATATCGCATTTTCTCCCATTTAACACTATAAATAGTTTCCGGAAATGGATCGAGTTGGCGAATCTGGGAGCATTGCACTAAAATTCACTCAAGACGTTAGCCAGCATTTCAAACTGTCTCATGAAAGTGGGTTTATTTATTATTCGTTTCAGCTGAGACCACTGCATTTCCTATTCACTGCATGGTAATCGCGTCCGTCCGATCGATTTGTGAACACTTCACGTGGAATACGTGCGCCCGAAATAGATGCTATCCTATTATTTTATCAATATTCAAGACRGGAGACTAAACAAACTTTCAACAATAAACACAAATAGGGTTTCAGATAAGCATGAAAATTGCCTATGGTCACCGTCGCGTCTAATCGCCAGACTGTGAAATGACTTGACTTTTTTTACATTTTTATTTCGAGGTGTGCAGTGGTATTCCTGCACATGTTTATTTATATTTTCCGCCGCAAAGAAAAKTTGTTTATTACACCAGTATACAAGGATAAATCTTAAATTTGCAACGATTAGAAAAATGAGAATAATTCCCACCATTTGTTAATTTTTTTTTTATTTTGTTATAAATAAAATGTCTCCTTCTCCTCCAGCACCGGAAATTGTGTTTTCACGGACGTTTTAAAAGACAAGCAATTTCGRTCAAAGGTCAAAAATGAAATCCCTGAGAGAATTCCTGTCGAGTGTGGGTTGCAATGCATGCACCAATTTGTAATCTTGATTATGGTAATTAGAATGCTTCATTTAACTAATAAACTCACTTAGCAGGTGATGGTGGCGAGTTGAATTCTATTAGTCAAAAATCTTCGATCAAAGAGATATTTTCGTTAATTAAGTCAACGGTTATTTCACGCTTCATTTAATGAAATGACTCCTTACTGAAACGAGAGTTGGGAGATGAGGCTCGTTGATTTATTTTTCATTAGGTTTATCAATCAATTTGAATATTTTTTGATTGATTATCGTTTTAACGGAGCTGAATGGGTTTGCTTTCCATTACAAGGATAACGAGTTTTTGAAATCGGAGGAATGCATTTATCCATAATTTATTTATTTATTTCGTCAATGCTTTTTTAGTTTAAGAAAATCGAAGATCATGAACTAATTAGTTAATAAAAATGTATCTGAATTATACAGTTTAAATTTCCCAAATAAAATAAATAAATTAGTGGCTAGATATAGTAGCCTTGAAATTGTAATTAAAAATTAAATGACTTGGTATTTTTTATAAATATTAATGTAAATATACAGTGTCTGCAGACAAATACGTAAAACTGAATAAAGATTTTTTTAATTGAGTCATTTTTTGATTGCACAAATTGTTTTCGAGATATAAAATTTTTAGTGAGTGATAATTTGGTTGACTGAACGCCAGTTAGGTAGGTACTCCATTAATGTATAACTGTAGAAAATTTTACGTTTCTAYTGAAATTCTTTGAAGAATTAATAACTTGAACTGTCCTAAATTGTCAATGTACGYAAAAATCAGTAATTAATAAAATATATTCACTGAATAATTCAAAATTATTTTGGTCTTTCACAAAAATTATTGATTATTGAAGTCGTTAATATTACTATTACCTCCAAAATTGTTCTACTACAAACTAGAAGATTGAATAAATGAAAAACGCTCTAAAAATAACGCATTTTGACCTCATTTTGCACCTTTTTATCTTGTTTTAACAAATTTTGTTGAATTTAGTGAGATTTTCGCTCAAGAACTCTCTGAATTCATAAAACCAAAAAAAGACATTTCCAGGTCTAATTTTACAATTTTATGCCATGTTTCGATAAAATTGCTCTAATTTAATGAGATTCACGAAACAAAAACCTATAAATTCTTACTAACAAACAAAATAACGCATTACCAGACCTGATATTGAGAATTCCACCTTGTTTTTGAAAAATCTCTCAAATTTAGTAAATTTCCCAGGAAAAAACGTTCTAAATTCATCAAAATTAGAGAATACAATGCATTTTCAGATTTAATTTTGCACTTTTTTGGCTTGTTTTGCCAAAATTTTTGAATTGAGCGAGTGCTTCAGCAAACAATTCTCTCTTTCTTGCTTTAGCAAAATTTCTCGAATTGAGTTAGTCTACCTCAGTGAAAAACATTCTGTATTTATCAAAATAAGTAAAAATAAATAGTTTCAAACCTCATCTTGTCATTTTCTTCTTGTTCACCAAAATTTGCTTAAATTCCAAAGAAACAACCAAAAATTTTACATTTTCAAGTCTAAATTTGCAATTTTACTTTTTTTTTTTGTCAAAATATTATAAATGTAGTGAGTTTTTCGGTAGTGAGAGATCTAAATTTATCGAAATAATCAAAAATAACTCATTTAAGACTCAATTTTGCACTTTTTTACTTTGTTTCGTCAAAATATTTCTAATTCAGTGAGTTTGTTAATAAACAACGTTTCAATAAAATTTTAAAATATCAAAGCCGACAAAATTAGTTAAAAATTTTTTCCCACTATTTTATTTTCAAATAAGGGTGGATGAAAAAAAATGATATTGCGCACAAATTACGTAAAACTGAATACCTACTTATATGTATAAGAAAGTTTTCATTCTATTTTGCACCCTTCTGGTTTTGTGTTAACATTTTTTAGATTCTCCGTCAAGAACTTTTTAAATTCATAAAACCAAGACATTTCTAGGACTGATTTTGCTATTTTCTGCTATGTTTTGGCAAAATTAATCGAATTTAGTACCTACGTTCTTTGGAGAAAAACATTCCAATTTCATAAGAAACAAGCTTTTCAGATCAAATTTTGCAATTTTATACTTTGTTTTATCAAAATATTTAGAATTATGTGAATTTCTTGCTAAAAAAYACTTTACAGCAATTAACATTTTCAAATACTAGTATTGAAAATCGGACAAAACTACAAATTCGTTCCGAGATTACTAATACTGGCATTTTTTAGACTATTTTTACTTTCGATATATTTATTTTAAAAAGTTTTAAAACCAACAGTTTGAATTGTTGAAGAAAAAAGATATTAATAAAAATAAATGTTGATTGATAAATTATGAAATAATTGACAAAAGTAATAAAAAAAGCTCAACCCAATTAAAATTATGTCAAAACCCATCCGAGAGTGTTCACCTATGTCTATTTTAAGTATCCATAAAAATTATTGCCTCGAATTAAGTTTTAATAACAATGGTTTTAGAACGCACTTGTTAATCGTCGTTTTACGACAAAACTATCTCTTAAAACGCATTTTCTTGTTAGGAACAAGGTTTGACTTGCACCTGTAGATGAAGAGATGTAACTCMAGTAYAAACTTGCCCGAATTAATAAAAACTCTTATTTATAACGCCCATAAATCGCATCAACATTGTTGTAGAAATGACCTCGCTTTATAGGGTGCAAGCACAAGAATGTCGTATAAATGCAAAACCTCGCCCCGCCTTGAAATTTTTCAAGAGTAAATCACCACAGCGATCTGTGACGCGAACAATTGAGGGAGTACTTCACGAAACCTCCCACACAAAATGTGGACACATCACTTACGTAAAAGTAAAGGTGAACGAGGACTTGGGTTTTAGGCCCACATCTGGTTGTGTGGTTAGCGCAACATCCAGTGTCTTCRGCGCAACGGTGCAGGATGGTGCAATGAGGAGTGTAGCTTTTACTAGGATCAGGATGCTCACTTTGGACTGAGATCACTTTCGGTGACGGTTTCAGACATTGGCCCTCTTGCCGGACCTTCACGTAGTGGTCCAACGCGGCGTTGATCGCCCTTCCTGAAACCGATAATGACCTGAAATCTGAAATGTCTGCAGCTGAAGTTTCAACACTGGATTGATTGCCAAATATTTAATTGCCGCGGCGCGGTTGGTGGCCAAAGAGATAAAAAAGTTGAAGCTTTCAGTAAATTTTGCCTCACTTCTGCTTTCTGAAAAATTATTAAGTCCACGTGCGGCCTTATTATCGCTGAATTTTTTAAAAGGCTTCAGTAAATATTTAAAGCACGTTACATTGAACTATAAACCCTGAAATTATGTAACAGTAGATCTCGAGAGATCATGAATTTATCATCACTTCCGAAACATGTGGTACGTTTCTACAAGCTCGAGCGTGAAACACATAAAATATGTGGATTATCAATGCTTTTCATCACACCTGAATCCCACTTAATGTGTGATTTATGGAGAAATCAAAGTTTGGCAAAATCTTTCGAATTAAGTGAACTTCCCAGCAAAAAAACCTCTAAATCCATCAAAATGGGCGAAAACAATGCATTTTCAGATCTAATTTTGCACTTTTTTTTAATTTTGCACTTAATTATGCATTCAGTGGAAACTCTCTAAATTAAGTGAAAATAAGGATTATATCTTGCTTTGACAAATTTTCTGGAATTTAGAGAGTTTAGCTCAGTGAAAAACATTATGAATTTATCAAAATAAGCGAAAATAACTGGTTTTAGATTTCATTTAGTCATTTTTTTGTTCTAGCAAAATTTACTCAAAATCCAAAGAAATAACCGAAAATTATTAATTTTCAGGTCTAAGTTTGCAATTTTTACATTTTATTTGTCAAAATATTAGGAATATAGTATAGTATTCCTAGTAAGCGATTTAAGATTTAATTTTGCAATTTTTTACTTAGATTTTTGCTTGGATATTTTCGAGTTGTGAGGCCTTTTTGGTGAGAGTGTAATAAGACACTAAAATAACGCATTACCATACCTAATATTAAAAATTTCACATTTTAGCAAAATTTCTCGAATTTAGTGAAATTTCCAATAAAAAGCCCTTTAAATCCATTGAAATCGGCAAAAACGATGCATTTTCAGATCTAATTTTTTTTAACAATATTTTTGAATTTAATGAGTGCCTCAGTGAATAACTCTCTATATATAAGTAAAAATAAGGCATTACTGAATCTAGTTTTGAGGATTATATCTTGCTTTGACAAATTTTCTCGAATTTGGAGAGTTTAGCTCAGTGAAAAACATTCTGAATCTTACAAAATAAGCAAAAATAACTGGGTTTTAAATTTCATTTTGTCATTTCTTCTTATACTAGCAAAAATTGCTCAAAATCCAAAGAAATAACCGAAAATTATGCATTTTCAGGTCAGTTTGTAATTTTTACCTTTTTTTTTCTCAAAATATTACTAATATAGAAAGTTTCTGGGTAGTAAGTGATTTAAATTCATCGATATAATAAGGGAAAAAAACTCATTTAAGATTTAATTTTGCAATTTTTTACTTGAATATTTGCATGGATATTTTCGAGTTAGGAGGCCTTTTTTGCAAGAATAATAAGACACAACAATAACGCATTACCAGACCTGGTATTGAGAATTCCATTTTGGTTTTGCAAAATCTTTAAAATTTAGTAAATCTCCTAGTAAAAAACATTCTAAATCCATCGAAATCAGGGAAAACAATGCATTTTTAGATCTAATTTTGCAATTTTTGAACAATATTTTTGAATTTAGTAAGTGCCTCGGTGAACAACTTTCTAACTCTCTATATTGATAAAAATAAGTAAAAATAAGGCATTAAAAAAACAGTTTTAAGAATTAATCTTGCTTTGACAAATTTTCTCGAATTCAGTGAGTTTATCTCAGTGAAAAACATTTTGAATTTAACAAAATAAGCGAAAATAACTTGTTTCAGACTTTATTGTGGCATTCCTTTCTTGTTCTAGCAAAATTTATTGTTTAAACACCAAAGAAATAACCTCAATTATGCATTTTCAGGTCCAAGTTTGCAATTTTTACCTTTTCTTTGTCAAAATATTACGAATTTAGTTTCTTCGTAGTAAGCCACCCAAATTCATAGAAATAAGCGATAATCCCTCATTTAATTTTGCAATTTTTTACTTTGTTTTGTCAAAATTTTCCAAGTTTAGTGAATTTCTTAATAAAAAAAGATTTTACAGCTTTAGGATATCAAAAGCCGAACAAAATTGTCCAAAAATTCTTTCCCAGTATTTTTTTTCAAATTAATATCAAAAAACAACAATTTAATATTGCAGGCAAATTCGTAGAATTGAATACCTATAACAAAGTTATTATTTGATTTTGAACCTTTTTCATCTTGTTTTAACATTTTTTTAAATTTAGTGAGATTCTCGGTCAAAAACTCTCTGTATTCATAAAACTAAGCGGAAATAAGGCATTTTCAGGACTAATTTTCAATTTTCTGACATGTTTCGATAAAATTACTCAAATTTGATGCGCCTATCAAAACAAAAACCTCTGTATTCATAAAAACAAACCAAAATAACGCATTACGACGAATCCCATCCTGTTTTTGCGAAATTTCTCGAATTTAGTAAGCTTCATGAAGAAAAACCCTCTAAATTCATAAGAGATAAGCTTCTCAAATTTAATCGTCGAAAACATTCAGAATTTATCAAAATAAGCAAAAATAACTCATTTAAGATTTAATTTTGCAATTTTTTATTGTGGATATTTGCTTGGGTATTTTCGAGTTGTGAGGCCTTTTTTGCGAGATTAATGAGACACGGAAAGGTTAAAATTCCCGCACTGTCTGCAAATTATGGGTGAGGTAATGACGCATGAGTCCCTTTTTTAATCCAAATTCAGTGTTTTGCCTCATGTAGGTAGAAAATCAGAWAAATAATAAATTAGAGAGACGACAGCCGTTGAAAGACAGAAATCGAGTTAATTGACTGACCGGGGGCTGCACACGATCTTGAGATCATGCAACAGACGGAAATTGAGTCATTAACATAGCGATTTTATCAATTTTGCGAATTGATTACCTTCGTTGTGAGACTTGAGATGAAGTTGCTGTCGTCTGCTTTCTTCAACCCTTGAGCGCGTCCCGTAATTGTCCCACTTGTATTTGGTGAAGGAAGAAACGGGTGCTGGAGGGGTGGCTTCTTCGTTTTGCCACTCGTCGGTGAAGGGGTCGTCGTCGTCGTCGTCGTCGAGGGTTTCTTCGTCGTAATCATCGAAATTGTCGTCTTCCTGAAATATAGATTTTTTTACGATTAACACACCTCGCTTTTCAGCATAATAAAAAACAATACGATTCTCATCGTGATTTAACGATGACGTAGGTCGCTTTGAGTTGTGATGCCGACACCAGTACGCCCTTCTTTGGCCACGCACGCCTCATAAACTGCTAATGATGGCAATTACACCCTGGCAAAATGCACACATTGTCAAGGAAATCTTGAGATTCCAGACGGAGGAATTTCATCATCGACATGACAGACTTTCCCACTATCAATTATTAATTTGCCACCGTGTCTTGTCTATCATGTGGAAATTATTCAACGTCAGAAAGTAAAACTGGAGTCGCCGGTTCGTGGCAATAATACGCATTTGGAATAGCTAAGGGCGAAACGGCTCTCAAAGAACGTTATTAGTGTTATTACCGTAATTATGAAGACCACCACGAGTTGAAAAACGTACTGTATTAATGGTGCGTCTAATGCAACGAGGTTTTTAGTGGGTTTGTTAGGGTTATTACGGTTATGGAAATTGCCCCATAACCGGCGTCCCTAACATTCAAACCCGGGAATTTCATCTAAAATTCTACTAACAAATTCAAAAATGCAAGAAGAAAATAAATACAATAAAAGATAGAAGGCGTTTCATCACGGTTTTAACTATTGCAAAATTAAATTAAATCAATTATTATAGTTCGCACCCTGTATAATAAGAACAAATAAAAATTACATCAAATCAAATAGTAATGTCTTCTTGAAAAACTGAAAAACTGATTTCGATTTTTTTTATTAGTTCCAGTAACGTTATATGTACTTTTTACATTAGGAGTGTAAAAAACGTGATTTGGTTCAATTAAATTTTCGATTTTTTAAAAAAAAAATGCTTTTTCGGTATAAAAGCTCTCATATTTTTATGCTTATGCGCTCTTATTTGCTTTTATGTAGGTACTTATGCTCTCTTATTACGCTTACTTAGATTAAAGAAAATTTTCCGACTTTTGCGAGATTCGAACCCCAGACCTACTTGCCGGAAGTAGTGACTTTATATCACGCCGCCGGTAGTTTCAATGCTTTAATTCAGTACATCCAGTATTCAGTATATTGTCAAAAATTTATTTTTTCGTTTCAAAAACATTTTGTTCTCTTTTTGATGTCTCTTTGACCTCTGGAAATGCGTTGGGTTAAATTTTGAAATTTTCAATTTTTCAGATTTATGTCAAAATTTTGGTCGATTTTTGGTTWATAGCTAATAACTCCGAAACTATTATTAATTAATAACCCGTTTGTGTTTGGTACCGTTGAAAAGTAGTTTTGATTTTCTTTCTGTCTTATAAAAAGTTTATTTTCTGTGACAAATAGCAAGAAAATTGTTAAAAAGTTAAAATCTATACTCGACTATATCTTGGAAACCATTGAAAAATTTTGCATTATWATTTCTGAGGTACAATTTTGCCGCAAATTACACAAATAAAAAAAATTGGAACTGTTTTTGGCTTCAAAAATTTGTGCTCTATTACTTACTATCGAGCGATCAAGATAATTTGTAATCGAGTCATCTTTGAATCCGAAAACGTATGTCTGTGACACGTCAAATAAAATAACAAGTCGAAAGATAAAACGGCAAAATGGGCTGAAATTAGTCGTTCGCGTATAATAAATAATAGAATAGTTAACGGTCTCTTTTGAAGGTAAATCATAAATTTAGTTATTAAAATCATAATTTTTTTGATCATACAATTTTACCTTTCGACTTGTCATTTTATTTGACGTTTCACAGACATACGTTTTATCATAACATTTGGGTTTTACTTAGCCCACCTTAAAAAACTTTGGACCTATCGTGGCTCACCCTATAAGGGCCTAGTTCCWTGCCTGTAGTGACCTTATGTCACTACGCCACCAAAATCCCGGTATGTATTTATGCTCTAGTCAAATATATGTATATTTAAAAAAAATAATAATTTTTGTGGTTTTACGACGTTTTATGCACTTTTAAATCCATTTTCCTACGACCATATAAGAAACTAGATCATAACGCACAATTACATACTAGCATGTGCGAAAATTGTCAATCTCGTTCGAGGTCAAAAACCTGTGCGATTTGTTTTCGCGCTGTGTGTTAAAAATCTAACGCACAATTCACACTCGAATGTTTTGTATTTTTTCATTCAACGTATTTTTTTGTATCCATGATAAAAAATAAATCGTTATTCAACGTATTTTTGTATCCATTATAAAAAATTAAATTGTTATGAAAAAAAATATGTTCGTAAAAAAAATTATTTATGGTCGTAGGAAAAATAGTGTACAAAACTTGCAGGAAAGTGTCTAACGCATTCGCGAGATTGCCTGTACACAGCTAACGCCTCGTACGCAACTTTCCCGCTTGTGCGTTATTTATCACTTTCCGTGCTCGTTATGTAATATACTATTAAGTGCATTCCGATACAATTTATCAAAGTTTTCAATTTTTAGATTTTTGTCAAAATTTTGATCGCGTTTCGGAACCCGGAGCGGCCTAATGCCAATAACTACGGAATTATTAACGACCGCCCGTTATGTTTAGTACACTTTTAACTTCCTATCTTATAAAAAAAAGATCATTGTCCTATTACAAATAGTTATTGAGAAAATCGTTGGTAAAGACACAACTAGCAAAAATATTTATTCGACAATAACATCTAAACTATCAAGAATTTTGTGGTTTCCTTGACGTCAATCGACTCCCCAGAACATTTTACGTACGTATAGTTTAAAACATTATTCACTGTGAATATAGTCTAGCCGAAATCTATAAAATAAGAAAAGTCGCTGATTGCAAACATTGCAAAGGATTTTTGACTTTTAATAATTTCAATAGTATTCAAAAAATAAAAAGTAAAAAGTTTTATTAAATTTTTSTATACAAGGCGAGTCAAATAATTAAATTTTTATATTTGTAAATGTTGTAAATAAAAAGAAATAATTAAAAACAAAGAGTTGTCTGAAAATTTCAAAATAAATCTTTAAAAAAATCACTCAAATTATTAATTTCCAAAATTTTCAAAAAAAAAACGTTTAGTTGGGTAACAGAGTAACAAAAATGTAGCATTTAGCATGACAAATAAAAATGTATAAATAAACCCTTTACATATTTGAAAATAATTTATATACGCTCATTTTGTAAATATTTCGATAACAAAGCAAAAAATTAGTCAGAATATTTGTATTTTAACAGTAAATAGAAGTGTCTTAACATTGGAATCGTAATATCCCAAATATTCAACGTTCCTAACTCATTCAAAGGTAAAACGTTGCTAAACCTGAATATTATTTGGGATTATTGGGATGGAATAAACAAAATTCSGTGTTTGAAACTTACAGTCGAGACGAGAATTCTGTTGAAAATTAGAAATTCTCCAGTCAATTATCAAAAATCAGACTTGTTTTTTTTAACTGTCGATTTGGAGTCCAAATTCCAAATTAAATTTTCTCATTTCTTCTCGTTGCTGTGAAAAAGCTCGGCTTGTAAATATCAAATTYTTGCGAGAAAAAAGTACCTGGACAAATCCGATACGATTACCACATTTAAAAAGTTCATTCATGTCACGCAAGTGCTCCCAAGCTGTCTGCGTTCACTTTTAATGACTGTTGAGAAGAAGAACAAGAATTGGCCACCTCTTCGGTATATCAAACCGACCGCAAATAACAACCAGTTTGCAGCATTGTGCATCTTCAAGGTTGYAATTGCAATGTACGATCAGTTGCATAATAAGAATGGAATTAAAACCATTGCGTGATTTCACAATTTACGAGCGGACATGACAAAAGCTCTAAGCTTTTGAATTCTAATCTAAAAACGTAAACAACGATTACGTGTTACTTGCATGCTGATGCGAAAAGATAAACTGATTGATTGCTAGAATCAAGTTTTTTTTAATGCGAGTTCACWGACGTGCATTATCCACAGGACGTGCAAAATTCGACTAAGTTTAGTCAACAGTTTTATTATTCCCAGAATAAAACAGTAATTTAACACTGTTTGAATTTTTAAAATCGAGTTAAAACAGACATGAAATAAATGAAACTTTATTTATTCCRTCACAGTTCCCGAAATTAGTCAAATGGTCTTCCTGCTGAGGAAATTATTCATGTCTAGTTCGATATAAATTAACTCTGTTAATGTCTTCAGACAACGGTACCCAATTAGTACATGTTTAATAAACTAACATGAACATTGGCACGTCATTAAGACAACAACTTTTACTTTTGCACACATTAATAGAACTGCTATTTCTGAACCCTAAATTCAACAAAAGTTCCAATAAAATTTTGATCAGAGAAACTTTCAACGTGAATTGTTTTGGCTTCACYACCAGGCCTTTTGTCATACAAATCTCGAAATTTTGACATCTACGCTTTTTCCTTTGTTTCGTCGTCTATTCAGCAAATGCAAATCAACTCAACGACTTTAATTAAATCACGGATTCACACGTTTATAATGATAAACAAATAGGAACTGAAGAATAAAACAAAGTGGTTATTTTTAGCACTAATAAATCATCGTAGACAGTCAGTCTGGCCGAGAAATTGCAAATGAAACGTTCAATTAACAATTAATTAAACCGTCAATTAAAACAACACACAACAAAATAACAAGCAAAGGGCTAGGTCAACCTTTACGATAAATTAAAATTGGCCATGAAGTTGCCATAATTACAATAATTTGATTGAAAATTGGCTTCAGTATACATCCTTTGTTAAACCAGCTGCGAAATTTACGACAACGTATCCATTTCAGCTATTTACGATGATATTCAAACAAAGAATAATTAAACCTGCACAAAAATTCACTCTCACTAACCCACTTCAATAACACAAGTTTCCTGTTTGTGAAATATGAATAAAAAAACGAAAATACAAGCTTCAGTAGCCAATAACAAATATTTACATGAAACACTGACCTAGCTTATTATCACTCCAACAAACCACATTCCGGGACTCCAGACCAGATTCATTGCGGATTCTTTCGAG